CTTACTTCAAATAGTTTTTTAACGATGGTTAAAAAATGGACATACCTAAAAAAGAAAAGAAAAAATACAATTAAAAAATAATTTGACAAAATGTGTTTGTATTTTTAAAAGAAAAGATGAAAAGGCAGGGGGGGGTGTTATAGATAAGAATGAGAGTTTGGAACGTTGGAATATTTCTTATTAAAAATGTTCAAACTCATTATTTGCTTTACCATCTATCTACGCACCACTGGCGTCATTTTTAGCAGCATCTTCCTGCAATTTACAACAGCCGCCGAATGCATTTTGCAGGGGGTACGAGCCTGGTCCATTTTTGCGTATAATCGATACATCATGATTTCCTGGAAGCGTATATAAGCGTACATGTATAGAGTGAGTCTATTGTAAGCAGAGACCCCAACGTCGGTAGCGTTAAAAAGGTCAGAACGGTTGATTCACCCCCTCTCTCCCCCCTTCAAAGTTCAAGGCCACCCCGGAAATTTTATCCCACGTCAGATGTGTGAAAAATAGGTTTCCTTACACCCATTATTACTTGTAAAACAATTGGGAAGTATCGTATAGGTTAATTTATAAAATAAATAATGTATATATTAACTCTATCAAAAATCAAGAAATAGAAAAAAATGAGTAATGTTTCCAATGCCTTCTTGACTAATAAATTCATATCTCTTCCAAAGTGTTTAACTTAAATTAATTTAAACTTCAAAATTGTGAATATCTTTAAAGTTTAAAAGACAAATTTTAAATTTTTTTCTGAGAATCATAAAAATTTCGTAGAATATTCTGAACATCAAATTTTTAAATGCTCTTTTATAATAAATCTTAAATCGGTTCGCTTCTAACACATCAATTATAAAAATGGTTATTTTGCAAGGAGCTACGAGGTCAGTAAAGTCTTGACATTGATGTAAAGTCTTGAATAAATTCTAACTTATATTTCTGGCAAGTTTGCAGAGTTTCTCAAAACAAAAAAATATATATGATCAACATTAAAAAATATAAAATGGATTTTTGGAAATGGAATGGCTGAGGAGGGCTGGGGGGGGGGGGGGTAGAATGAGTTTAGAAGATGGATGGCTGAGTAGATTGGGTATGTTGAGGTGAATTTAAATGTTAAAGGAAAGTTTGTGGTATAATCAGCCCTGAACCCGGGAAATCTACGAATCTGACACATCTGTGTACACAACACTAAACTGAGGGTACACATATTCTATTGTTCAAAGGGTCTGTAAGCGACACTTGATGCATAAATGGAAATGGCCGATTCACAATGGTACCCCTGCAACTCATTTTTTTCTAGGGTTCAAAACTGTTAATTCTGATAAATTCTATATGTTTTCATGCAGAGAAATGCACAATTCACTTTTATAGAGAAACATCGATATTTTTTTAAATAGTTGATCAGGAAGATGTTTCAGAGTACTGTTCTGAAACAGGGATGCCCTTCTTTAATTTTACGCAATTACAGTTATATAAGTCATGATTAAACATTAAAGAAATTAAACTACTCTGTAGCAAACCATACATTTAATATAAGATCAAATAAAACGTGAATATCTTATACTTTCAAACATTAATCTATAGATATGTACTTTAAGTATACGCAACCAAAGCCAAGTTTGTAGTTTCAATCATCTTGAATATAAATAGAGCTAATAATCCGCTCATGTTTTTACAATCTTACTCACACGAGTTGTTAATTGAATACCACTGTACAGTGTGCATTGAACATGTGTCAAATGTAGAAAAATCGTATCCCCCAATACCTTGGGACGGAGTTGAAACTTTATAAATGCGGTTTTATTAAACAAACTTTAACAATTCCTGCTCAAGCTCAATAAACCTTGTGTTAACTAATGAGTTTGCTGAATTACTAGAGAAGGTTGTTGAACCAGTCGTGACAAGTTAAACTACTCTTTAGGAATTCAAATTCATCATTTTAAACAAAATCAGTCAGTCTTAAAAACCTTAATTTTAGGAAATTTAATCGCAACACGCGACATTTTTACTGAATTTCGTTTTTTTTTAAAAACACGAAAAAAATATGAAAATTAAAACACATTTTATGTAAATGATTCACGTCCAAAACTAGTTCCTACGTAAGCAAGATAAAAATAGTGGATGTAGAAGCAACAAATATGCAGTTTATGGTGCAATATAGCAGCAGCTACGGAGAGATATGCTTAAAATGCACTCAGTATATTTCATAGAGTTCAACCTAGAGGGGAATAGGGTCAACCAATCCAATTCACAGTTGAAGATACTGTATTTAAAACAGTTTTGATGTGTGTTCAGATAGATAGATATATATATAAAAATAGATAGATAGATAGATAGATATATAGATCGATAGATAGATAGATAGATAAATAGATAGATAGATATAAAGATAGATAGATAGATAGATAGATAATTCCCAACGGCCTTTTCCGAAGCGGCAACTGGTAACTTCCCAAATGTCCAAATTCTAGCTGAAGAGCTCGGCCCTCTAGCCCATCCTAGACACAGCGCTCGGCCCCCATTGCAGCCTGTGGTACCTCACAAGGCAAAACATAACCTGTGTGAAGTTGACGCTTGGGAAATTGTCACTTGGAAAGTAGCCCTTGTGAAAATACCTTTGGGAAAGTATCTAACACCATTAGATAGATAGATAGTTAGATTACAGAACCGACCCTAATTTTTGCGTATGTTTCAAAAAAAAGTGGTCTTTTCTACTTTTCTAACTATTCCTATTTGAGGTAAAATATAAAAGTAAAATAGATAAAATCACGAAATTGAATGTATCTCATGTTCGTAGTATTAACCTAATATTAACCTTTATAAATTTTATAGTATGTTCAACATGAGCTCGGTCAGGGAAGATTGAAAAAAAAAAAATTTTAAGTTTTGTTTCCAAAATTTTTTTTCTTCTTTTTGTGAACGAGATATTTGTAAACTGTGGTTTATATGGCTGACAATTCAGCCCTGTAAATTTCGGATTGGTTTTCTTAATAAAAAAAATTGGCCTTTAAAAGAAAAGAAAATCCTTCTTTGGTTTAGTTATCATGCATCTTCTTCAAATAGCACTTCTAACTTTCTTGGTAGGAACATTTGTTCAGGTTTTTTTTCTAAACATATGTCAGCTGGCAGTGTAAAATGCAAATTAGGAATAAAGGAGTCTGGAAAGAAATCATCATCATAGGAGTACTCTTGGAGACCCACTTTCATTAGCGACCCCCATTGACGTCTCGTTGAAGACCCCCAGATTCTCGTTGGAGACCCTCATATTTTCATTGGAGACCCTAGCTTCATTTGAGACCCCATATTTTCGTTGGAGAAGTCCATATTTTCTTTGGAGACCCCCAGATCCTCGTTGGAGACCCTCATACTCTCAATGGACACCCCCAAATTTTAGTTGGAGACCCCTAGATTCTCGTTGGAGACCCCCATATCTTCATTTCAAACCACATATTTTCGATGGAAACTCCCATATTTTCTTTGGAGACCCCATATTTTCGTAGGAGACCCCAGATTTTTGTTGGAGAACCCCAGATTTTCAAAGGAGACCCAGATTTTTATTGGAGATCCCCAAATTAGGAAACCCCAACCAATATCTGGGGTCTAATAATGAAAATCTGGGGGTTTGTAATAAAAATCTTGGGTTCTCCAATAAAAATCTTGGGGTCTCCAACAAAAATCTGTAGTCACCAATGAAAATATGGGGATATGGGGGTCTCCAATGAAATTATGGGGATATTTAACGAAAAAATGGTGGTCTCCATCGGATATATGTTCAGACAAAAATTATAAAAGTCGCTAGCACCTAAACTAGAAAAATTCAATCAATAGATAGAATTAAATGCTTAACACCAAAAGTCTGAAATTTACATTTTTGATGTTTATACGTTTTGTTATTTTAGGTTGGGCTTAAAGAAATCAATTGTGAATTCAGCCTGTTTAGAGAAAATGCTGGCTCTCTTGGTACCGTTTTTTAAATTTCTTGCTTTTAGTAATTGCACTTCGAGAACTTTGCCGAAAAGGCGAACTATGAACAAATATTTTTTATTTGCACAGAAGCATATTTAACAACGAAGTTTGATAAAATTACAGGCGTTTATATAATATATATCTTCCCTTGCTCTGTGCCTGGAAATTTTAATTTATAAAACTTAAACATGACTCATTGTATTGCCTAAAAACTGATCTCCTGGATAATCCGTTTTGAAGTTGCTTGTGAGGTGTTTATCATTATTTAATTTAAGTCATTTTCCGTTTAAAATAAAGTTTTGAAATGAATGCTTTAGCATTGTTATTGAATCTCAACAAAATTGAAATAAAAATACCAAACTTAACATAGTAAAGAGTTTTATAGAACACGTTGGAAAGAAAGTGGCGTTCTAAATTAATGAAAATAAAGTATTTAAAACTCTTTCACATTAACCTTGAGGCTGCAGCCCAGTGGAGTTTCGCGTAGTCGGCGTAGAGTGTGCGAAACCCTTTCGGGCTGCTGCCTCAGGGTTATTGTGAAAGAGATTCATTGAAATCTTGAAAAACAACATCTAGTGTTCTGTGTTTTATTTTAATTAATCTATGATTAAGACCTCCAACTCAGCAGATTAGAAGAAGCCGTGCAGAGTTAGGAGAGGACAGAAAAAGGTTATTTTATTATATTTTGTTCCAAATGTTAAAGACAGGAAATTTAATAAAAAGGACATTTCATAGAATATATCCTATCCATTAAAAATCTCCGTTAATGAAATGTTCTATCTTTAAATGTGCAATCTATGAAATGTCCTGTCTGTAAAAGTGTTCAATCTCTGTTATCATAGTTGTCTATGAAATGTCCGTCCATCTATGAGATGTCAAAAAACGAATTTCAGACTTCTGAGAATGGGGCGAAGCTCTCCTTCCAAGATACTCCCCCCCTCCCTCTTCTGGGAGTGGATAAAAGGCAATACTTTACAAGTTTAATATTACTAAAAGAAAGTGTATTTACTAAAAACTAAATTTTTTTATGTTTTAGAAAAGGGACATCTTGATGATAAAAAACTATGGAACAAACTCATACGATCATCGTGGTACAATGCTATATATATATATATATATATATATATACAGGATTTCACACAAAGGATGAGACTGTAAAGACGACATGAAACTTTGAATTAAGTCTTCTGCCTTGAATATAATCTTTTTAAGGCCTATACAATAATAAGGAAAAGAAATAACGAAGTTTACAGTCGCAGGGAATTATAAACGTAAGGAAACAGACAATTTCAATTCTGTACAGTCGTCTCTGAAGTTTCATCCTTTGTGGGTGAGCCTGTTTGTATTTTAGAAAGAAAAATTCCACTCCCCCCCCAGCGCGCCCACCCCTTCCCCTCCCTCAACCACCATTAATTAGAAGCTCGTCATGGCCTGGTATCACGGCATAACGTATGTATAAATGCGCGAAGTAGTTAAAAAAAAAAACTAAAGAAGGTTTTTTTTAGGCTTCGTGAATACAGAAAGAAATCGGTCCGCCATTTTGTTCGGATGAAATAATTACAAAAATGGTAAAAAAACAAATAAAAAAATAATTGATGCCCAGTTGTGAAAAAGTATGTCAAATTACCCTTTGTCAATGCAATAATTACAAGTTCAAGCATGAAAAATAATCCATTTTTTCAAATGTTAATGTTTAAAAGTATTTACTTGATATTCCTTTGTCATGATTATCAGGACTGTTCACATATTTTGAAAAAGTTAGACAAATAAAAAAAGCATAAAATTGGCGATCTTTCGTCTCATTTTACCTTTTTTAAAATTTAGGAATAAAATGAAAAAGAGGCCCTTGTGAATATTTTGAGGCTGGAAATATATCTGTAATTCTTAACAATTATAAATTATATTGCAAAATTTTAATTATATTCTAATTTCTTTATAATATACATCACAAACCCTTTACAAATTATTTGAAAAATAGAATTTGTCTTTGGTCAGTTTGCCTTAACTTTTAGACACATTTTCATACAAATGTTCTAATTCTATTCCTATTCCATTTTTTCTTACCAACTACTAACCATCTCAACATTCAACATTCAAAAAAATCAAAAAACGTAAAAAACGTTAAAAAAGTCTCCGTTATTTTGAAACACATCCGTTCGTTATATAACCGTTATTTTTTCGACTATTTCCGTTCGATAACGATTTCAAAATTAAATGTGTTTAACGTTCGTCAACGGACTCTTCCGTTAATTTTTCTAAAACGTTGCTCGTTCTATGAACAGTGTATTACAACGTACTTAATAGATGAGATGGCTAATTGAAACCTGACATGAGGCTATCAAGGGCAGCCGTAGTACATTTGAATTTCCGAGCCGGGTCAACCTTTCCGGTTCCAGTTTGTACTGTACCTAACTCTGTGAACAGGATTAGCCGGTGCAACATGGTTGACGCGGTCAGACTTTATGCTTCATATAGGTTGAATTTACTTTTACTAAAGGGGCAGATTTGCGTGCTATGTGTTAATATGTATAAGGATTATTAAAAGAGTCAAGAATTATTTTCTGTTTCCCTGTGTTTTTAGTACAAACCTTAATCTTCATATCATAAGGAGCAATTATTGCATTGATAAAGTAAACGAGTAATTCGGCCAAGTCTAAAAGCAACCTTAACGTATTGTATAACACGAACGGTATGTTTAAGAAGTAGAAATATAGGCATCCTATTCTAGATTTAAGAGGAACCATATTCATAATCTTGAAACCGAAGCGGAAAGAGAACTTACCTAAAAAAATAAACATGTTTGTCATTTCTATAATGTCCCTGAAATTTAATGAAAAATATGGTAGATATAAAAACAAAGAAGACTCCTGGAGTGATACCCCATAGGGGGCAAACTAGAACATAAATTAAAATTACATTATGAATTTAAATTTTTTATCTTAAAATAATTGGAATTAACCCTGGGATAATATGAATTTTGTTCTTAAAAAATTACCAACACGCAGCAAAAATTGTTCAATTAAACTTACAAAAATTTTTGATTTTTAGAAAAGTTAGTCAGCGCAAGCTTTTTAAAAAATCAACAATTACTAAGGGAAGTCGTTTTTTCAATTTTTTCAAAACATGGCGAAGGTTGCGCCTCTAACCACTGAATATTCCTCAGTTGTTTTTTTTTTTGAAATAATGAAAATTGGTTGATCTATGGCTAAAAACCTATTATTTTTGGAGGACTCTGGTAAAGTTTTGCTGAAAAGTACGTTTTTTGCCAAGAACTTATTCGATTTTTACGATTTTAACATTTTTAATTCAGTGTTTTAAGACGGATTTTTTTGGTACCAATATCGACATATTTTGAAAAATAATATTTTTGCTTGCACTAGTCGTTCATTATGTACAAAAACGTGATGTGCTGCATTTTTAAAGCGATAAAAAAAGTTTACATTTTTGATTTGCTTTTTTACAGAAACTTTTAAGAGACGTGCTGAATGGATCTGAACATCTTTATCACAAAAGTGCCAAAATGTCCCATCCTTATTGGAATTGATTACTTAATATGATAAACATGCATTTTCACTTTATTTTGACAAATTTAGGTATTTTGTTGAGATATTCACGTTTTCTATACAGTCAACCCTGTTTTAGAATCTAGTAATATCAGCACACTCCTACAAGTACTGGACTATGATTCCTATTTATGCCCAGATATAAATATCGGCTTAGGGTTGAATACAGAGGTTTAAAGGTTTATAAAATCAGGCCTTTCATTGCCTTACAATCAGGAGTTTGCTTTTATACAAGGTCAACAAGAAATATTAAGAGAAGGTTGAATAATGAATGGGTTACATATGGAAATGATGAATGAATGAATATATAAACGAGATGAATGGGAGTTTTGTAGAACGTATCTCCAACAATCCAAAAGATAAAAATTAATGTCAAACAATGAATTGAAGGACATCAAATAAAGATTAGTTTTTAAAAGAGTGATAAATAAAACTTAATGTTTGGATAATTTAAAGAGATAGTGCGTGTAATTTCGAGTGCTCTTCATGAAAAGATGACAATACCCTATTCACAACGTTCGGTACCCTTGAAAATGCTATTTACTGATTATTAATATATTTGAGATATTGTTTTCTAGGAAAGTGCTTAATTTTGATACTTCCTGTATGTTTTCTTTAAGAAAAAATGCACAAGGCACTTTTGTAGATAATTCACAGTTTAAAAAAATTAGGTTTTAAAAATATTAACAATGATATCTGATTCATAGTTTTTAAGCTTTTAAGGGTTCCTTTGTGAATAGGGCATTGCCAAGAGTCTCGTGAAATTTTGCTTACCAGTAGGGCTGGACACGTTCCAACTTTTTCAAGCCGTTTCGAAAGGTTAGTTCCAACCGTTTTTTAAATAAAATCTCAAATTACAGATAGCCGTTAGTTTTAGAGGGTAAAAACTTCGTTTCGTTAACGGTATTTTCCGTTTTTTAAGTTACCTTTAGTTAACGATTGTTTCAACAATTGTTAACGGCTTCATTATTACAGAATTTTTTTTTCAAAAACGGCCAATCCGTTTCGTTAATGATTTAACAATTAACGGTTTTTTATGTTCGTTAATGGACTCTTCCGTTAATTTTCGAAATCCTCCATTTCTTTAACAGAACTTTGCCCAGTCCTACTTACCGGTCCCTGTAATACAAAATGGTAATAAATGAATTTTCTTTTAATTAAAATGATTGAATTTACAATTTAAATATCTAAAAAAATTTTAAATTTTCCTTTCTTAAAAAACAAAAATTAGGGGGGGGGGATGGTGCCCTAGCTTTAATATGAAGTTCTCCTGAAGGTTTATTTTACGGTTGCGTTTTAAAACTTGAATTAATGGTTGAAATTATTAAGCAAGAAAAAAAGTAATATGAAATGGATGAAAAAAAGTTTCCGTATGAAGTTCTGGTAATAAACATTAATGACTGATTTTATTTATTTGTAAAATGTTTATACATCAGCTATATATATGTAGCAAGCATAAACAATTCTCAAGCTATTTAATGCATTTGGTGCATGCAGAGATTAATTCTAAAAAATTAAGAAAAGTAAACATAAAAATGATTTTACAAGGGTTCAAAGCTTAAATAGAATGAATATAAGGAAGGATTGAAAGATGATTAAACAGTTAGATTTGGTATATATAAATATGGTATATATGGTATATGGTATATATATTGGTATAATATATATATATATATAGGTTTCTGGTAAATATATGAAAATAACAGATTAAACAAATGTAAATTTTAATTTAGATTTAAATTACAATTTTTCTAAAAATTTGTAAGAAAAAATGACATTTTTAACGCGTGGGTGAAAATGTTAACTAATGGAGTTACGAAGTCGCAAAGTTTCACCAATAATAATGATTATATGAATGCATTGATATATAGATAGATAGATGAATAGTGAATAGTGAATATTTGAATAATAGAAAGAGAGCTTGATGATTAGTGAATATATGAATAGTTAGATCATATATATGAGTAGATAATAGTGAATATATGAATAGATAGAGAGATAGATAGATGAATAGTGTATATGATTAGATAGATAGGTAGATGAGTAGTAAATATATTTGAATACACCCTTTAGAATCTAAGAATCATGATATTTAGATCAATGTTTTACCCTTCCTCCTCCTCCCTTCAAGAAAATCAAGGATTGTAGAAAGAAAGATAAATACTAATTCAAGAATACAATAAAACAATAATAAAAACAATAATAATAATATTGATCATAATAATAATAGTATTAATAGTAATAGTTTTAATAGTAATAATTATAATAATAATAATTTATAATTTTAAAACAAAAGTCAAAATTACTAAAAAAAACTCAAAATATATTTTTGAATATATAGATCTTTTTTTAAATCTTTGGTACGTTCCGAAGCTAGTTAATTATATCTCATGTTTTTAGAATTTACATCTTTTACACTTTATAAACAGTTATCTTTTGGCACTAATTACCCCCCTTCCCCCTTTCCTGATACAATTCAAATATTTATTCAACAAATCATTGTATTTGAAAACTTTTGGGTCAAATCACAGACTTTTATAAAGGAATTATATTTTTGAGACTGTGTTGGTGCAAATTCAAGTAATCCTCCAAGTAAAATGCCTGCTTCACAATTCTACCATTGAAACCTGTATCTGAACAATATGTGGACACTAAACTTTTTAGCTTGGAAAATTTTGATTCTGTTTATATATCTTCCAGGTTTTCCTGCAGTAGAATGCACTAGTCATTAATAAAAAAACCATAATTTAAAAAAATCTGTTTTCACTATTTTAAACATTAATACATAATTCATATTTGATCAGACAAAGCTTTAAAGGGTACCAATGAAAATCTCTTTGCATGTAGGGTCACTTGAAATTACGCTCAAAGTCCCTTTACTGAATTAATTAAAGAGTTAAAAAAACCTTTTAAATGCGAAATTTTTATAATTTTATTTTTTCTTAAATATTAAAGAATATTAAAAATAATTTCGCATTATGCAGACGAAAAATTTCAATATTGTCACATATGCATTTCCAAATGCATATCAAATTAAATACTCAGAGATTGTAGAAAATTATAAACTGTAACACAAATATGGTCGATTTAAAAGCAAATCTTTGATCTTTTTTGCTAACAATTTAAAATAAAAGAAATTGTACGTGTTAGAAAAAGAATGAGAAACAAAGGACCTGATTGTGATTACTTGCCTTAAACTCTGATTGTCTAATTTCTTACAATATTTAAACAAACTTCTGCACTTTGAATTACTTCCCTTGAACAGGACGCATAAATATAAAGATAGAAATCAGACTATAATTATGTTGAAGATAGAAAATCAGACTATAATTGTGTTAAAGATTGAACCCTAATATTTACCGTCCACATCAACACACAATTAGTCCGTT